GATCACGTTCAACCCGTTAGGCGTGATCACGTCCGGCTTCCGTTTCAACAGATGCTCCGCCTCGACGCCGGTGATCTGCGAAACGGTTGTGAAAACGTGGGCTGCATGAGCAGCCGCTCGTTCGAGACAGTAGCGATGGTAAATGCCGCGGTCGCCGGCTTCCTTGTCCAGGTCCAGCTAAAACGACACAGCCATAGCTTACGGTAAGAAAACAGAACCAGGCTACGGTATCACGGTCAAAACGTTCACACTGTCACAAACGGTCATTGCTCTAGTAACGCAGAGCAGTGTAATGGTGTACAGCCAATAAGCAGAAATAATTATCATCACGAATTCGTTTCGAATTCGTTTCAACTTACACAAACCATACGATCGGGCAAGTGACCACTCAACGAGACCAGTAGCATTTTAAACAATGAATCGAACCGTCCTGTAATGCAGTAATACATGGAAAACTAGCACATTTTTAAAGGTTCCTATAGTTTCTGTTCGTTCCCAGTCTTCCAATTTAACATTTAACAACATCGGAAGATTGACAACGTTTCAGCCCGAATCTCAAGAGCCTTTTAGAGCCACTATTTTAACCCTCATGAGCCTAAATGCCTTTCGGACCAAAATGTAAGAAATGCTGGAACGAAAAAAAAGACTTATGAAGCCAATCAACAGCCGCACATTGGAAAAAGCCCGTGAGATATGTGTCCAAACGTCGGGAATGGACAACTGGATGACGGATGCGTTGTATAAAAACAAACCACATCGCATGATGTTTTCAGTATGGTCACCAACGTTCACCAAATGTTTATTCCTCGAATGGTGTTAGACGTAACCTGCGGCATAGGGGCGCAAAGCAACACGGCCAGATAAAATTTTTTAGAAATGGCAAGAACATCGACTTAGTCTCTCGCATAAAAGAGTGCTGTTCAATTTACAAATTCATATGCTTTATATCATCAATTGCCAGCATCATAACATTGCAAAATTTCCTTAAATCTTGATTTTCTATTTATGAAACGTAAACCATAATTGAAGAAGATTGTTAAAAGTGGCAAGATTCATTATCACCCTGTTATTTGCACGCTACGCTGTGAGAGCTGAAGTTACATGCGATGACTTAATGGCAGAAGCAATCAGAGAATCATATGGGAAACATTATCTTCTACGGATATGAGGGCGGAACTTGCGAACAACATCGCACGACAGTTTCAACATATCCCGGTGATGACCACAGATGAAGAAACTGGGTGAAAGTTCTTTAAGAACGTCTTACATCGGGAAGCCGCCGAATGCCGTGGATTCAAATGGGCCAGCTAACTGCCTTGAGTTCAGAATAGAAATTCCTGGTGGACAGAAGGGGCATAGCTGGGCATTTAAAGAGAAGACTGCATTCAAAAAATGCCTCGGAAGCAAAAAGCCTTCAACTTGCATACGATGTGTAGAAGCGGTCAAAGCGTTGGAGTGGAATTTTCTGACGGCAAACAAGGCACTCTGGATGACTATTCACAGGCTCCGAGGTGAAAAGACAGGTAATATAAGAGTATCGTATTGAAGAACAAGTCTGAATACCGTTTTGTCGAGAATGAAGACAATCTTCGACAATTTCAGGGATAGTACTTTGAGGAACTCCTTAATTCCTGAGGAACCACAGGAATACTGACACTGAATTGCAGTAAACAACGGATAATGGTCTTTACACAGAGAAACCACCAACAGTAAAAAAAACGAAACAAAATCAGAAACAAACAAAAACTCCAGAGCTAAGAAAGTGAACGAATATGCGTCGCTGAAGGAGACGGTCAAAAAATGGACGACGGTCATCTGCCGAGCTCACCTTATCCAAGTTGTTATAGAAGTCGACGTTGCCGGCACACACGTACCGCCCGAGTAATGTCGCGTGCGTCGTAAACACGGTTGCAACGTCAACTTTTCGACAACGAAGCATAATCAAACCGACGCCGGCCATCCATTCATGAAAATGAGCAACCACCAATGGTTTCTCAACACGTTCGAGAAACTGAAACCATTTCATCTCAAGGTTTATCAATCAATATATCGCAGTGGTAAATCTACACACGTTAAGATAAAGGCATACTCCGCCTGAACTGACACATTTTATAGGGCACGCAAAATTATTATACGCAGTTAATTTAGACCGAGTACACAATACACAGTAAATTTAGTTGCCTCATAAAGCGGCAACTTGAAAGAATAATGAATGCTAAAATACAACAATGAGAGTACAGATGATTGTCATAGTATGTCGCTAAATTTTTGCGCAAGAAACTATCTAAGCAAACTACATTATCGATGGTACGGTTTCCATAGGTACAAACAATACCAAAAGACAGCTCTCTTTATCTAAATGCCAACGTTTCAGGAAAGCACCATCTATCATGCGGGTAAACAATGAGATAGCGAAAGTCAAAAAGCAGCCGTCAAAAAGAACATCTACAATAAACAAGACGAGTTGTTATCGACAAAACGTTTCGATGCGTTCTTGAGCAAGTTTTTAGCTGGAAGAAATCTGCACCAAATCACTTAACGCGATGCACCAGGTTTCTAACCCTTATTTAATTTGGGTCATATTTTTTGTTGATGGTACTTATTTCAAAGAGATACTTCTCAAAGCAGTAGATGTTCTTTAAAGAAATTTTCAAGGGGACCAAACACTGACTTTAAATTAAAATTTAATCAAATTTTTTCATTTAACTATTCATGTCAGGCCCATGCAACGCGACACGGCCTGGAGTACAGATACCCGAGAGAGCCTTTGCGTAGAGTCACTGCTTCTCCAGATTGAGAAGTAGTAGTCGCGATGATTTTGGCACGTGTTGCGAATTCCTCCAAAAACCGATTGGGCAAAAGATTCAGGAAACGGCCAAGAATATCTTGGGGCATCTGTCTTCGAAAAACCCTGCTCCAGAATCTCGCTATCTTCTGCCGAAG